GCAGAAAAAAGTCAATTTCTTTCTTTTTAGACAAAAAATGCGGATGTAACATCAGCCGGATGATAAAGTACATTTTGCGTTTCTACTTAAACGAAGACGGTACCAAAAAGAAGCACAGTGGGAAAATGATCGCGAAATTGTTAGGCTGGATGACAGAAAATCGAGTAATACTAACTACACAAAAAAAGACATGGGAAAAATGTCTGTTCTTCTTCTCTTCTGTATGTACATACAGAGGACGAAAAGAAATAATAGTATGCAGAAAATGTCTACTTTCAAGTAATTACTGGTTAGGAAACTTCTTCATACTGGGAGAAAACGTTTTTTTCCCAAGAATCATTTAGGAGTCTGACTGAATAGAAAAATAAGGTCTGAAGATAAATAATGGAGTGTATATTCAATGTTGATGCTATAAAATACATTGCTAGTTTTACAAGAAATGTAAAACTAAAAAAGGCAAACACTCTTTTTGTGTGAATAAAAACATTTGATAGTAGGTCCTTTAATATGGCCGACATACAATAAAGCCGAAAACGTGTTCAGGAAAGTCCTTTGAGTTAGTCTAACATACAAATCCTGGCGTGTACCACATGCTACTAATAACGAGTTGAGGTCGTTTATTGTTGTTTGCGAGTTAGTTTCCCAGCACCGAACTTTATTCGTTTCAATGAAAGTGTGTGTGTTATTATTTTTTGCTCGAAATTGTAATTATTGCATGTCTCTTAATCCCTCACAGTTCATAAGGAGACATTAACCATTTATTCCTCATGTGTGCCAACTGCGCTGTACCAAGACTTGCGTTAACACATTCTGATATCCCGTTAAGTGTTGACACTATTCTTCTTCGTTCTCCGCTTAATAACGCCGTCCTCTCAAAAATTTGCACATTTTTACAAGATTTCCTCAGATCAAAATGATTTTCTAGTGAACCACGTACTTCTGACAAACTTATAAAAAGTAAAAAAAAGCTCTTGTTTCTGTGTTTAACTGGTTTTAGTAGTTAAAATAAGAAGACATTCATCTTTTTCTTCTTTTATTGCTGGTATTTAGTATATTTTTTATTTTGTTATTCTGAATACCTACGGAAAGCGTTTGGACGTGTGTGGGACCTACATTTGAAATTACGTTTGTGTTTTTGACTTTTATATTTGAGGTCGCAGTAAATGACATTCATTACAACGAAAACTTTACACAAGACTTTACTGCAAGAAGAATGAATATAAAAACAACTAATTCAAGTGATATTTGTCCCATCTTTTTTATTTTCTGTGTTCTTATTCTTTCTTTTGATTTCTGGTTCTTTATTTAACTCGAGGAAATGTTCAGAATTGCCTATAATATTTATCCATTGTTCTTTTTTCCATATTGGAAATGAGAACCATCTTTTCTGATTGACCCATCAGGATTTGCTGGGTGATAATGAGGTTTCTGTCCGATTTCATTATGGTGAATCGGTGTTCGACCACCACCTTGTTGTCGTGCGGCATCTTCTGCTGCTTTCCGATTTGGCTTTAGTATAAAATGCTGATGAGGTTTTCCGCTGCCCCCAATCTTCCGGCCTGGTATGATACCTTTTGGTAGTCGACCAAAAATACCTTCTGCTCCTGTGAGAAAGCGAAAGATAGATTATGAATTTTACATGTGTAGTTGAGACGTACCTTTTAAAAATAAAATGCAGAAAAGGCAAAAGATGAAAATAATGGAGGCGATTTTCATTCTGATTTATTTGATCAAACGAAGAAATTGTGTCTCTTATATAGGGATAGACTAACAGCAACATTGAATATACACTCCATTGTTTATCTTCAGACCTTATTTTTCTATTCAGTCAGACTCCTAAATGATTCTTGGGAAAAAAACGTTTTCTCCCAGTATGAAGAAGTTTCCTAACCAGTAATTACTTGAAAGTAGACATTTTCTGCATACTATTATTTCTTTTCGTCCTCTGTATGTACATACAGAAGAGAAGAAGAACAGACATTTTTCCCATGTCTTTTTTTGTGTAGTTAGTATTACTCGATTTTCTGTCATCCAGCCTAACAATTTCGCGATCATTTTCCCACCGTGCTTCTTTTTGCTACCGTCTTTGTTTGCATAGAAAGAAAAATAAATTATAATTTTTGAAAGAAGCGCTATTGGAATAAGTTCTTTTATTTTTTTACCAGGAATCTATCCCCTATCGTTTAGTATCAAGGGAGCAGCTAGTTTATGAATATGTAGTAGATCTGTTTTATAGTCATTATCAAACACCATACTACAATAATCCTTTAAGCCAGAAAATGCCCCTATGGGGCAGTTTTCAAGCAGATTTCGCCAAAATGTTCTTCTGATAGGGGGGATAGACTTCGAGTATGTGAGGGGTTACATACTTAGACTACTAGCAGGCGACAAAATTTGCAAGTTGTTATCACCCCCACCCTTAGACAGATAAATGTGCTGATACCTTGTCTACACACCGATAATAAGCGGAGATCTGTCTCTTGTCTATTTTCCCTTTCTACCAGAAGTTGTTTCGTAAAAAACGTAGAACAGCCGTTTCATGAATGTGAAAAATTTTTATTTCGAAAAGGAATTTTTTGAAAGCACCGTCGCTAAAACTAATAAATCTTGTAGATGTTCCAGGGTACTGAATATGCAAAGACACCTTCACTGACTCTGTTTGATTGATAGTAATGTGTGTATATACTGTTTATCCTTTATATGTGTTCAAAATCATCACTGCTCAGTACTCTATCACCGTATAATGGAATCGATCAATTTCTCAATACCTATTGAAATTTAACTTCTAGTGTTCTATAATTAACACATGAACCATTCTGTAAAGTAATATTCACTTCTCAATTGAAGAATGCTTATCTGCTCTGTCTCGCCGAGACAGAGCAGTAAGGAAAACACTGAATTATCCAATGTGCCCTAGCACTAAATTAATGCTGTACTCTGCTCACTTCGCTAATTAAAACTGAAACAATTAGAGAGGACCTCTTTACACTAGCAAGTACACAAATTGTAATATCTTTGCCATATTTTCGAGAAAATAGTTCCTAGCGATTTTAGTGGAAAAAACAAATGTAGACTTGGGCTTCTTTCACTATGATATTCCGAAAAGTGATCAATAAAGTTATGTTGGTCATTCCAAATTCGTGCAATTCTAAACTTAAAGTGAAATCAATATATTTTACTAACTTTGGTCTGTGATATTGAGATCTCTACATCTTAAAAGCTAAAGGAGACCTTTTTCCAAAAATTAGCTTGGCATAGAGTACAATTTGTGTACTTCAAACCGGCAGAAAAACTGGAGAAGGGTACCTTCTTCTTGTTAACTTTCTAATATGGGAAGTTGCTAGAATATACACTAATTTCATAGTCAGTGCAAACTTTCTTTTGGATGAAACGATAAAATTTGTTCTTCTCTCTATTTCTTGCTTTATATCTCTCTCTATAGTGTGCATAGAAGGAGAAAAGCATCTAAGTTTCATCTAACGGAACTATTACGTGGATTATATAGACATGAATGTTTTGTTATACAATGATGAATATAACGGTAATATATGAGTAGTTATTGTTCATCATTTGATACTCTTATTCATTAATTATCAATAGCTCGTTTCAAGAAGATACTGACTGTGGATAATAGCAGCCTTTCAACCCTTCTTATTTCTGTTTTATATGCATTATCTCTCACTACCATGGCCCGAAGAGAAAGCCGGAAATTCATGGTAGTTCAGAAAGTTCTCTGAAAACTCATTTGGCTTTATATTGGCGTAGATACCCACTTTTTCATACGTTCAGCTGTGATATTGGTAGCCTTATAACTCAAAACATAACGGTATCTTTTTCTAAAAAATAGCATGGCATGGAGTACAACCTGTGTACTTCAAACTGACGTAAAAAACGGAGAGAGGTAGGTACATTCAAATTTGTTAACTTTTTCATCTGTTAAGTTGCCAGAATCTACACTCATTTTATAGTGAATGCGTTTTTCCTTTTGGATAAAAACATAAAATTTGTTCTTTTCTTCGTTTGTTGCTTTATATCTATTTCTACATGTACACAGAAGGTGCATTGACAGCGATGTTGACAGCTCCGTATCTCAAAAAGTACACTGTACCCTTTCTAAAAAATAGCTCGGCATAGAGTACAGTGTGTGTACTTCAAATTGTCTTAAAAACTGGAGAGGGGTACTTCCAAATTTGTTAACTTTTTAATCCGTCAAGTTGTGCACTCATTTTATAACGAATGCGATTTTTCTTTTGGGTAAAACGATAAAATTTGTTCTTTTCTTCGTTTGTTGCTTTATATCTATTTCTTTGTGCACACAGAAGGTGCATTGACAGCTCTGTATCTCAAAAATTAGACTGTACCCTTTGCTAAAAAATAGCTCAGCATAGAGCACAACTTGTGTAGTTCAAACTGACGTAGAAAACGGAGAGGGGTACTTCAAAATTTGTTAACTTTTTAATCTGTCAAGTTGACAGAATACAGAGTAAGTTCATACTGATTGCAGTGAGCATTTTTATGAAAAGAAGAATTTTTTCACTTTTCACTTTCTTGCTTTCTATATCTGTCTCTATATATGCGTAGAAAAGGGGAAAAATGAGACAGGAAGAAAAATTACACTACAAGCAGAACGAATAAAATGCGGCATGTTTGAAGTTGAACGATGAACTATACCGTTGAATACAGTGGTATTCTAAGTGGGACTCCTAAGACCCCATTTTTGCGTGTACCCCGACGAGATCTTTGCGCCGTACAACGTAACTCATCACGCTGATTCCGAATATGTAAAAATCTCAAATACCGCTTCTCTAGAAAAAAATCATCAAATTTTGATATGTAGAATCCATAACATGTAGACTAATGTAGACTGGTAAGCTAGAAATACAATGCTGATTGGACGTTTCATCCAAATGACATGAATAAATATGCTTTTTTCATCTGGTGATTTGCCATAGTCTTTAAAGCAGAGATTAAATACCACTATACACTGATGAAATCAGCCTTCATGCTGCTTCCAACACCTTTTTACGCTGGTCAACTGATGGGGGTGGAGTAAATCCCAACGGGATATCACTAGGTACTGATGGTGCATTATTCAACTGTTGTTCGATCGTTTTGTGTTTGTTCGCTTCAAGAAGTTGTATGTCAGCTGAACGGCGTTGAAGGGCTCCATTTATTTTTTCATCAATATTGTCTTCACGTAATCGATGATATTCCCAGTTAAGACCATCACACAATTCTCTTGATCCATCATTACTGTCTGACAAATGAAAATAAGTAGTATGAATTTGCAAAGATAATGCGTGTTTCAAATTGAGCGCTTGGTACTTTTGAATGTTTTGTGCTAAACTTTTTTTATCACCACCATCTGTGAGAACATTTATTCTAGCTACTGTTGCACCTTTCGCTGTTGTTTTCAAAAACTTTACACACCATTCATAAGCATCATATGTATGTGTTGCAGCTTCCTTAGGTGCCAGTGCGCAATCCCGCAACAGGTTTCGTTCTTTACTTGTGATACCATTGCAGAAGCCGAATAATAAGGTTGGACTTTCATCGTAAACCACAATAGCTATGCGACTCTTGGATGTCTGTCTACAACAAGTTTCTCCGTTGTACAAAAAAGAAGAAGGCAACTACTGCCGATGTCTTACTTCAACATTCCAGATAAAAAATTTTTTGCAACTTTGAATCGGGATTTTCCCCAAAAGTTCATGTATTCCAAGAGTCCATCTGCTCTATTCATTGAACTACTTTTATCGAATAAGTACAATTCCCAAATTTCATCGTCGCTTCCAACTGTCATCGAGATTCTAAGACACGAGTAGCATACGATAATCTCTCTCACAAAGCTTTTGGAAATCTTTATATAAAAAGATTTATATATCTTACTAGAAGAAATATATCTTTTCCATATCAATACAGTGTGAACTCTTAGACTAATATGAAGGAAAAAGAACGAAGTAAAAGACTCACGTAAAAGAACGAGTAACATCACCACACACTGAAGGTATCCCCCTCACCGCAAACGTGCACTGGGAAGGCTAAAAACGCGATATTGGCGATCAGCTTCAAATTCTCTATCGAATCATATATAAAGAAGACAAAAATAAAATAGTACTTGATTATTGAATTATGCGCGCGGTACTTCAAACTCGCATAAAAGTCGGAGAGAGGTATATTCTAATTATTTTTGTTTTTATTTGTGAACTTGGTATGACATAGGATAAACTCACAATGAACACTGCTTCTTTCTAACGTAGAATAAATGAATATTTCCATCAAAATATAAAATCTTTTCCTTTTGGTTCTTTGAAGCAAAATAACGTACTACACATATATATGTTACAGGAAATGTATGAAATCAGGGAATGTATATATTCCCTAGGGGGTATTCACATTCTCTGGAGGATGTATATATTCCTTGTTAGTGCTCGGGGAATTTGAGTATGTGACACCGAAATTTGTCCTGGAATATAATAAATTCATGAATTATGTGCTGTTTGAAGCTAGGATAGAGAAAAATCGTAAAATTTAGTTATCTACTATCCATTTCAAAATAGAATGAGAAAAGGCATTTTTTGACTAACTTTTTAACAGAAAGAGCTGGAGCATTTGATAGAGGAGCTACTGCCGAAGAAATCTATGGAGAAATTAGATCTTTCGATTAGATATACCGTTCTGAAATAGTTCGGAACAATTTTGACTGAGTTATGAATTTTTTAATTTTCACTGAAAATAGTGAAAAATGGATTATTTTGTCGAGCAAAGGTTTTCACTAGCTTCTTTTAAGCTTTTTCAAAAAACAAACATTGCCATACAATTCAGCGTGGTCGATAACCTATGCTTCATGCGTTTTAAAAGTTCCAGGCATAAAACTTAGCCAATAGACAGGTCCTGGGAAAAAAATGCGTACAGCTCCCGAACCATGGGGGTAAAGATTTGGATCTTGTGTAATTCTAAAGAGGACAGTCTAGAGGTTCGAATCAACCTGTTAGAATTTAAAATACGTTATTTTTCTTGAGGTGGGAAGCCTGCAGATTTTGTTCGAGAGCTACACGATGGTAGATCTAATCGGAAGATCTAATTTCTCCATAGATTTCTTCGGCAGTAGCTCCTGTATCAAATGCTTCTTTCTGTTAAAAAGTTAGTCAAAAAATGCCTTTTCTCATTGTATTTTGAAATGGATAGTAGATATCTAAATTTTACGATTTTTCTCCATCCTAGCTGCAAACAGCACATAATTCATGAATTTATTATATTCCAAAAGAAATTTCGGTGTCTCACATTTGTTTAAAGACTCTGACCTGACTCAGACTTGAAAATTGGGTGATGTTGACTCGACTGTTTGACTCGAGTCATTCATTCAAAAAAACGTTTTCGTTTTCTCTTATAAAAATATTACAATTTATAATATTAAATTTTCACTTATTTAGAACTTTCGTCCTAATTGAATATATTGTATCAGACCGATTTTTTCAAGAGCTTTTTCTACTTCTGTATTCATGCTATTGTAAACGGTGTTTATAAAAATAAACAGAAAACGAAAAAATGGCAAAAATAACTTGACTCTACTCGAAACCGCTACGAAATGACTTGCACCCGATTCGACTCGAAAAGTGGCTTGAGTCGCCCAGCCGTGGGCTGCTCTGCGAAGGTTTTTCTTAAAAATGGTATCATTTTATGAGAGTCATTAGATACAGAAAACTGTGTTAAACTTACTACTTAATACTAGCGTGGGAGAGTTGTAAGTAACTGAAACGATGTTTTCAACGACAAAACTCTCTTCTTTTTATATCTGTTATCAAGATTCACACTTTTGACTCACTGTGCATCAAGGAAATTTCTTCGAAAGTGTATTTTTATTACAACGTGCAATGATGACAGTTGTTTTTCAAAACAGACCAGGTAGCCTACCAAGTTGATTTATTTCATAACAATTCAGGTAAAAACCGACAAACAAAATTGAATGATGAATAATATATTTAAGAAGGCATGATTTGGAATGACGCGAAAATTTTTCGTAACAACAGAACACGCAACATACAAAATCTAAAGTCAGTGTCAGCTTCACAAAACTGAAGATAAGGCTTTGAAACACGAAGGAAAGAAAGATTTTACGAAAGTATTTAATCTTCGGATAATTTTTTGACATCGCACGCGAAAATAAACAAAACAACAAATGAATTTAGTTTAAATTCAAAATGTATTTTGTAGCAGTTTTATAGTTATTACTTATTTATTTTCTACTGCTATTTCAACTAGTTTCACCTAACAGATTTGAGTAGTCCAGTAAAGATGATGTAATGTCAAAAAGAACAGTATGTGCGTGCGCATTTTTACTACTAACAGAAGGCGTCGAAGTTTTCGAGAAATATTTTTCTTGAATTTTCTTTCGGTTTTTAGCACCATTCTGTAGCCTAAATATAATGTCATTCGATAGAATATATCGGGATTCCCCCCTCACTTGGGACTTGACTTCGTCTTAGAGATTTTGATACCGAAAACAAGAATAGAATCATCATTCTTATTGATTTAAATGACCACTCTAAATAAAAAAGAAATGTTTGACTGCGATCGAAAAAGAGAGCAACATCTGAGAGACTGTCAACTCTGTTGAAACTTGGTGTGCTTTTACTTCCATTTCTTGATGTAATCGCAGATTAGTATAACTGTATTTTATGTTAATCTTATTTAGAAACTATCATATAGTTCAAATAAAAGATGACTGTTGACTGATTGACTGGTTACTTCCGTTTGCTAGTAAAAATCTGTTCTATGACAGTGTGTCTGTTTCGTGGATCATTTAAAGTACTTCGAAATCGTATAATACGATTTGTCTGTGATTCATGGGATAGTGATTTTAAACTTAGAACTAGTAAATGGAAAGAATATTCACCGAATCAGCTTTTAAAACGTGAAAATCAACTTATCAGAGATAGAATGATCTAGTATTCAGTTGGAGAACGACTAAAAACTACCTAGTGCCTAGACAAAACACTCTCATAATATATCCTCTGGGGCTTAAAGATTTTCGACCTTGCCCTATCTGATGATGCCATTGGGTTAGGTTGATTCTGACTTGCAGTGGACGTCTTGAAATTGGAGTTTTTGAGAACAGGGCTGTCGGAAATATTAATATTAAAAATCATTTAACTTTTTAAACAAGCTCATCCGACAGAGTTCACTTTTAGCTATTTAAAACACTATTTATTTTGGAAAAACACTTTTAACAAATGCCTAAAGCTTTATTGATGTCAGAGTTGAAGTCTGTAATTAACTTTCTGTAGCAAAACAACACTAACTACGTAGTAACATTAAAGAATGAAAAATTAAAATATTTATTGTTTAATGAGATTCGTAATGATGAGACAAACTGCCCTATGAAAAATCTCCATGCATCATCGCTTAGCCTTTTAGTACCTTGGTAATAAATATGCATCAGCTGAGTTCACGGCAGTGATAAACGGAAAGACCAAAATTGTGACAATAGGCGCCAACATTAATGAGTGTACTTAATTTTTGATGCTGAATCCGAATAAATTAGTTTCAAAAATTTACAGTGACGACAAAGGAGCAAAATGTTAAGTTTTCTCAAGAAGAGTCACAAGTGCCGTTTCTCATACCTTCTTCGTATTTTGAAGACTTCTCCTCCCCAAAGTTGATGAAAATTCAATTCCAAGGACACATTCGGAATCTACTCGTCGGGCTCTATCTGGCCATGCATGTTTCAAGGAAATGTATTTTTGTGTTCCCCTTTCAAATTTCCAGCACCTTATTTCTTTTCTTTCTATCAGAAATGATTCATGCTTTAACATAAACTGTATCTAGAAATTTTCACTCAACAAACATTGAGACAAATGTGAAAAGTACAGACTTATGGTTCGATCGTGGGAAGTGGTCACTTGGAATTTAGTTGCATCCATATTTGTCTCTGTATAAGTCATTTTCCATCGACGTGATTATGGCCTAATTCTCAATCCCTCATTCTCCCTTTATGTCTGAAATAATTATTTTAAAGAAATCCGATTTCACCATTCCATAGAGCTGAAACAGTTGTACATAGAGTAATTTCCCTGATTTCAGCTCTAAAGCTCGACAAGTGCCCATCCAAAAATTCTTCATATCCACCTTGTTGCCAAATGGGAAGCACACATCCGATTGAGCTCCGATTTATACCAGAGATAGAACAGCGAAATCGAAAATTGATGTATTTTGCTCAGAATTTTGTTGTGACATGATCTTCTATGGTTTTTCTTGAGACTCCAGTTCGCATCCAATCTACAGATAAGACGGTTTGCGAAAGTTTCCCCTCCTTTCGTGTAATACGAAAGCCGTAGTATATATTTCTTTACTTTCTGTCACTGAAGTGTTATATAAAATGGAAGAAATGAAAAAGACTTTTGTTCTCTTTCGTTACTTTCGCATTGTGGAACACACAACAGTGAAATGTCACTTTCGTATAGTAAACCAAACTAAAGGAAACTACGCTGAAGCATTGAATTACTATAACAAAGCTCTTAAAATTCTCTTAAAAAGCTTTCCTGATAACCATCCATCTCTTACAACGACGTACAACAATATTGGAATGATCCACCTTTTGTCATGACATACGATACCATTGGACTCATTTACCTGCGTCAACGGGCCTATCCAGAGAGCCTGATAAATTATGTGAAAGCGCTTGAAATCAAATTAAAATCCTTGCCTCAGAGTGATCATCTTGATATAAGCTATTTTTATTTTATTTAACTATTAATCTTACATAACGATCAGCTGACAAACGATTAATTTTGTCCGTTAACAACCAGCATGCGGTGTCTTTATATAAATATTTCATACCATTACACAGTGTGTAACAACGTGGACATTAGGGGAAAAAACGAAAGTGAGTTTTTCCAGGATTCAATTAGTGATCAATATGCACTAAAAAATGCCCGATTTAATGGCGAAAAAATTTTGATCCAAGTACTTAATTTCGTCGAGAAAAGTAAGTCGTGATTTTTAGTCGTTTCTGCACATTTCGTCGGAAAAAACGTTTTTTTACGGTGGAGGAACGCAAACATAAAAACATAAAACTGATATATTATGAAAGAGGAAGAGTTAGGCTATCGATTCACAAAAAGTTTTTTGGAATTAGCTGGTTTTTGGCGGAAGAATTGTTTATTTTTTTCTTTGGTAGGAGCTTCCGAAAGCGATGCGTTTGGGAAAGTGAGCGCCCCTCCACATCCCCGCTCCGTTTTGAAACTTTCAGCAATTGCTCCTCTATATGTGGTACGTCTATAGGGAATGCGCAAACATGCGCAAATGCACCTAAGCGGTGTTGCAGATTTTACAAAAAACGTCAGTTTTCAGTGGTTTTTCAAGATTTTTTGCATTTTATTATACTCTTATTGAAAAAATAAGGACATATTCGGAATCAGCGTAAAAAGCTGATTCGGATGAGGGCTTTTTTAGATTTTTTTCAACATCGGTGTAATTCGCGAGCTGGGCACTGTAAGAGTCTGGCTAAATTTTTATCAAGCTAAAGGCATTGGATGATTTTGATATGATACATCGCATAAAACAACGGCAGATATAGCAAAGAACATTTCTTAAAACTGGTTATTCATATTAACTGCGTTTGAACCAACGGAGAGATAAGACGCGAAGGACGCTTCACCAGATTGAGCACATTTTAAAAGATTGCAGCTTTGATTTGAGCATACTGCAGCATTATAAATTGATTTTAGCTTTAAAAACCCTAAGGTTTTCTAGAAAACTCGTTCTGAAAACCCACCTTATCTCAGAAATCATTTCATGTGAAAGAGCATAGTCGAAAACCTATAAAAATAATCTCTGAATTGATTTAACCATATATTTAGGATTTTTAGCCTTCAAAACCCTTACGGTTTTCTAGAAAACCCTTTTCGAACAATTTTATGATGTTGAAAAGTAGTTAATGTAAAGAGCGCAGTCGAAAAATTATAAAAAATAATCTGTAAGTGAATTGACCATATATTTATGATTTCTGGCCTTCAAAACCCCTATGGTTTTCTAGAAAACACTTTTTGAAAACCTTTACGAGCCCGAAAAGTATTTTATGAGAAAGAGCGTAGCCGAAAACCTATAAAAATATACTTTTGGCTGGGATAGACTAATTAAAAAGCAAATATCCACGTGCCTCTCAAAAATTGCACACTGTGCACAACCTTGAAAGACTGTGATTCCTGAATCAATTTAGTTAATCTTCGGTCCGAAACTTCTGTCAATATATGATGTAGCACAAGTGTTTCATCAGCAGTTTTTACTGCGTTTCTTGTTATTCGCTCTACCGTTGTTTATTTTGTATGGGTATAAGACCGCTGAAACGGAATACAAAGTAATTTCTAAATAAAATGTAGGGTAATTGTTTGTTCGCTCTTTTATACAGAGTGAGTATTTATTTGTTTTCAAAATCGACGACTGTTGCTTGTCCTCTGATTCTGTCTACCGACGTTGTGTTGTGTCTCACTGGATCACTTTCTTCGGTGGATAATGAAGAAAATCCGTCACGGCACCAAATATCAGAGAGACAGGCAAAGTATGTCTGGAAACTCTCTCCTCTCAGTAAAATCACACACTTCAATAGTCCTTTCTTTTAAAAACGATATCGTTCAACAGACAACAAAATAGTATAGCCTATTGTCTATTTCGACTTGTCTATTCCATACTATTTTGGGCGCAGGAAAATGGTACTAATCCAGATAAACAACCGCTAGCTTTTATATTAGAGTATATTCTCAATCTTTTAAATATTGAATAATATTAAATCTCAAGTAAAATACTGTATCTTCCGTTTTGTATCGCCTTACTATCTAAAAATATCCGTAGTTTACAAAACGAATATCCGTTTTAGCATTTGCCCGACACTACTTTTCGTTTTGGCAATCCCCTTAGAAACATTTTCTCCCAAAATGAAGAGGAGTGTACCTGAATGCTTGGTCCTATTGCTATCGGACCTCTTCTATGTCCAAGGGAGGGATCAAGGTAGCTGAAGAGGTAGGAATGCTAATACACTGATTAATCACCCTATGGTCGGCTATTTTATTTCTGTCAGAGCCTCTCCCATGTCAAAAACCTATGTTAGCCTATGTAGATCTGACCCGAACCCAGGGAATGTTGACCATGTCAAAATGTGGTAACGAAATTTTTTATAGCGCCACTTGAAACCGTTCGGGATAGAGCACCACAACAAGAGCCAAAAATAAGCATCTACCGCGTTATGTACAAATCAAAAAAATTATCTCTCTGATGTATCATTACTGAGAAATCTTACACATGCGAAATGCTGTCTAGGTGAACGTTACTTACAAGATACGGTGGCGCTAGCGTCAGATGTAAATTCTAGAGCGATAGCGAAACCCTCATAACTCTTGATTAGAAGATCATCTGGAGCTAGATGATGTCTCATTTTGACCAGAAATGTTTGCTCCACATTCTGGTGCCCCTCAACGTATATTTTGAATTTGTTTTTTTATCAGAAGGTGAACTTTTTCGCAAAGTTAATTTTTTTAGGGCTTTCCGAAAACTTTTCTAAAAACCCTCATATCCCTTCGATGAAGGCCAAATAACTATGGATCCGTTAGCTATCAAATGATGTGTTTAGCTCAATATGGAACTTTTATAAAAAGAAAGTTATGTTTCTGACTCTGAGGGAAGATCTTAAAGCGCCTGATTGATCAAAACCGCCATCATCAAGTGTGAAGTCGATTTCATTGTAAAGCAGAGCGTCTTCACAGTTTTCTATCCATTGAACTCAAAGTACATGTTTAGGTGATTCAAAAGCAAGAAGTGGTGAAGAAATTAAGCAGAACAGCGCAAATTTTAGTTGAGCGAGGTACATTGTGACCAGTTGAATGTATTCTTGGAGACGTTTAGGTCTACAGATGACGTTTTTTCCTCCCAAATGGAAACAGGCAGAGTTTATATATGCATATGTACGTATATAGGTTTGTAATTGATTCTGAGTTATAGTATGAAACTTCTTGTTCCACTACTTAAATTACTTACACCATAGGAATAGTGATGGTCTCATGCAAATGTCAGTTAAATAATTTTCTTAGTCATGTGAGAAAATGAATCATAAAAAAAATTCTACGTAGGATTTGAAATTAAATATATAACCAAGACTATTTTTTATCATACTTGAAACAGATACTTTGTATTTTGAATAAATATTTTAATGCTGACCTTAAATACAGAAAGATACGATTCTGTTAGAAGAGTACACTATGTCTCACTTTCATTACATATATTACTCTAACACCGACAATGAGAGTTAAAATAAATGTCGTTTCTTTCTGTATGACTCAAATATATCTAAAGAAAATATAACGAGATAGAGTCAACACAAGTACAAAAAAAAACGAAATCAGGTAAAGACACATATATTTATCCTTGCAAACTCTTTTTCGTAATTATAACTCACTGAAATTTTAGCAGATCAAACAGCAGATATGAATAAGTATATTCATACATCAAAGCGGAGTAGAAGTCCTTCCTTAGGAGCAAGAAAAGGCGTACTGACACTTTCTCAGGCGTTCCGATAATTCAGTTGCTGGGTTGAAAATGATGATCGCGTGCAGATTGAGAGGGCCAAAAGCGGTCAACATAGGACATGAGCGAGTTTCATAGCATTCAACGAAGCAAAAAAGAGAAGAAGAGATAAGGATTCTTAGAGTTGGAGGTATTGGCCGTAATATTTGCTACACACGCTAAAAGAAACCGTTTCACTCTATCTTATATCTGTCTTAGTCCTGTATTGGTCTAATTTTTTTTCTTATTTAAGGTAGAAGAATCTATCAGTCTTACCTGAAATACCGAAGGAAAACGTCTTATTCGTCTAAAGGATGAGAAATCATTCACCTGTTTTGTTTAGCATTCGCTACTTGTATATAAAGAACAGAAGATTTAAGGACAATGAATTGAGAATTTTTTCTTCTTCTCTTATAAAATACTAACAATAGTTAGACCAAAAGTACTGATCTATTCTCATGATCTTAATTTAAAATTTGAACTATTATGAAAAATAAGACAGATAAATTTATCGATCTTAAAATAAGACCCCATAAGTCGGTTGACGATTAGCCGCATACATCTTAGAATAAGACGGAAGAAGTTAAGATGTACGGAAGCTTCTTATTTTAAGACCCATATATGCAACTAATCGTCAACCGACTTATGGGGTCATACTTTAAGACGCATTTTTTTAGAGTGCAGATTAGTCTGTTGCTTTTAGTTTGCGACAGCATGTGTAAAAAAAATGGTTAGTTATTAGTTTTTCTTCTTTAGCCTTGGTTCTTCAAATTATGACTACTAATATAGAAACAACATTCAAAACATTAGTATGTTTTATTGTTTGTGACAGTGGTCCAGCAGGACATTTTGCTGCATTTTCGAAGAGCTTGTATCAAGACAATGGCCCATATCATATTGAAATTCATGCTAGCGGTCCAGCATTGGCGAAATTACAGGACAGCAATTTACCAGATGGTATTAAAGTTGTATCATTCCAACTAAATAGACTGGCATCTACCGAAGAAGAAGAAAAGTTAGCAAAAGAATTAAATAATAAATGTCATCAACAAAATGCTCGTTTGATTATAACTGATATTGGAAATAAATTTGATATAAAGCTACAAGAGTTTTCATCAGCAATAACAAATAACAGTTGGACATATTATGATAATCCAGAAGTTTTTGTACCAGGTGGCTATTCACTTATTGCTCACGAAACAATAAAAAAATCTAAAAACGTATTGTTTGCAAACATGAATTTAGCCAAAGCTAATGGATTACCTGATATCGATCTAACAAATAAAACTTTGTATGGAGTTGGTTATTACCCAACTGAACAAGCCGAAATGATTTATCGACGACGAATTACTGAGAAAACAACACATCGTGCACAATTTTTTGCGAAACACAAATTGAATGAACTACAGTATCATCAGATTTTCGTTTATTTTGGCGGTAACAATCAAGTTTACTTTGAACACGCATTTCCAGCTTTTCTCTCATTTCTGAGAGATGCTATTCAGCAAAACGAAACGACATTTCTGTTTTTAATTCAACAACATCCAGCAGCTAAACAAGAGAATTTAGATGGCAAAATGGTAACAAAATTAATGCAAGATAATAACATTAAATGTTCCGTTCTTCTTTCTGACTTAACAAGTGATCAGGCACAAATCTTAGCCGACGGCGCGATGTATTATCAGACAAGTATGGGACCACAATTTGCATTAGCCGGTATTCCTGTAATGCAAGTTGGACATGACATTTATGATGATGTTCTAGTTAGAAATCGTCTTAGTTATACAGCCACAGATTCACACGAATTCATTGCAGGACTCCGTAAAATGCAGCAACAAAACACAAATGATGATAACGATAAACTAAATGAGCAAAAGCAGCTGATTTATCAAGCGATTGGTTACAACCCGAACTGGTCGAAAAACTTGGAAGAATTAATTAAACGCTAAGAAAAGATCAAGTTATCTTTCACATAGACAAAGAGAACAGTTTCAGTTATGTCTGATCCAGCAGAAATACCAGTAAGATATATACTCGTATTTATTTCTGTTAACAAAGATAGCGCAAACATGAATAAATGAGTGATTCTGGTGTTTATTGTACCATTCTTTTTCAAAAAATGATTCCTGAAAAATGATGAATGTTCAAAAAACAGTAAACGGCTGTACTTAATAGTGTCATTAGCGGATAGAGAATACTTCATAGTGTAAGACCAATTAGTTTTGCAAACTACCAGTTTTTTCTTTTTTTGGATTTAGAGACCGAAAGGTTTATGGAAAGTCATTAACTCTTTGTACACCAGACACACTAATTAGCATATGATCATTAACTCAAAGACGACAAAAGCTAGAGACTAATATCGGTCCTAGTTCCGGAATGGTAATATCACAAACATTGTCGAAATTACAGATTCTTCTCTCGGCCTTTTGATGGCCGTCGGTCAAAAAGCACATGTGAACAATTTTCATTGCATGTTTTATTTTTTATTAAATGATGGTGTGTCCAGAATGCAACGAATTGAGCATATAATTTTTCGTTTGAATTTCGTAAGAAAGAGTCTCGCTCTGGTCCTACAAAGAAAAACAGGACTTTTCTGTTCTCTACCTATTTTTGTTCTTTTCCTCGTTAAATACCTTCGTAAGATGCTGGTATTTCAAAATAATCGTTACTATTCATAAAAAAGAAAAATCTAGACAATTCGAAAATTAACCAGGAGTTCTGAAATAATTTTGCATCTAATTTTTTCAAATTGTTTTGGTCACATTGTTGGGTATTGCGCTATCGTGTAACGGTAATGACTTTTAGTTAATGTAATTAACCTACCGGAACATTCAAGAATGCATGTGCAAAAAACGGATGATTCATGAGTAAATGCTCATAATTAACCAGAATTTGCATCGAGTTCCGAGTGAATGCTACTGCATGTGCATAGGAAAACAAAATAGAACAGAAAACAGAAGAGAAAACTCCTGTTTGTCGCAGCTCTAATGTCTGTTATATAAGGCACTTTATTAGACTAGCGAAAATGCGACCTATTTTTTTAACATACCTTTTAACAGAAAAGTTGTTTTTCATTCTTTTTGTGGCATATACGGACTTAGTTAGTCTGCGAAAGAGATGTGTCTCAAAAGAAAACATGTCCAAAAATCCGATAGTGTAACATTGTGGCTAGCGAACATGAGACGTATTGGATATTGGCGATATCCAACTATTTCTATTTGCTTTGTCGTCTTTCCAATTCATTGTGATTATTACTGTCTGTTTTTGTACCTGTGTATGCTTCATGTAATTATTATCCACCGTTCTGTGATGTGATAATTAGGCAAAAAGAGCTTATTTTTATAAAAGCTAGATCACCGTATTATTCGCCTGCAAAACGCGTAGATACAATTTAAATGATGCTGAAAAGATAAAAACGAATAGATAGAGTAAAAGAAAAGTAATCTAGTGATGTTTGTTGATAACAGTAGGTAAACAAAACAATCCTTGTGATTTTAATGTCAATAACCGTTGCACAATTAATCTTAAATTATCCTCCGCGTGGAAATTTTCAATACCATCAAATATAACTTTACCATGATTTAACCATTGCTGTTGAAGTGATGAAGGGGGCTGTAAATGAACAGTGCGAGAGGCAGACAATTTCCCTTCTATTTCACACGCAGTAATAGCTTCATGTATGGATTCTGCAACTGCGTGTAGTTGTGAGGTAGCTTCTTTTGTATTTATCATATTATCAAACGCATGGTATATATATTTATCACGTTGATTTGATACAAACCAATGAATACCTTGACAAACGAACGTAAGGAAAAAAGCAAAATGAACGGCCAGTGTGATAAGAACACGGATTTTTTCTTCTACCTTTTAATGAATGAGACATTTCACCAAACACAGGTCGAGTATCTGTTCTCCATCCTATTACTGCTTTTCCTAATGTTCTACCCCTACAGGAGGAACAAACAAAATTGGATAAAGCAAAAAGAAATTATATATATAAGCTATCAATTGCTATCTTATGTTTTATTACCATGTCAATTCCACAACAACTCCTTCATCCATCGGCTCATCAATATGTCCCAAAACAACGTGAGCATTTGGTATAAAACGTCCCATATCCAATATATATATTAAATATTGTACACATGTTGTTAGTTCTTCTTCTGTTAGTAATGCGTTGGTATTGGTATTATTTAATTTTTTATATTCTTCTTTTAATAATAATCTAATAAATTGATTTTGTCCTTCAAATCCATCACGTTGTGGTATATAACATTTGTAACCATATTTTGATTCTAATATTTCATTAAGAGAGATATTACATAATAATTCACGACAATTAAATAATGCCGCTGTAGAATAGATATAAATAGGAGAGCACGAGCAAGCGACAGAAGTACTCGTTGAAGGAACAACAAAGAATACCTTTTGCTAACAAAAAACTTAATGCAGATAAAGGAATGTAAATAAAAGGGAAAGAAAGTAAATAGATAATACGACTACATGAAAAGCAGGTAATAGAGGGAAAGACAGAGAGAGAAGAAGATGACGAATGACGATGGTTCAGATGATGGAATCGACGACAAGAGACGCCGAAGAGACAAAAACAGCGAACATGAAAGACAAGAAAAGAAGAACATATACGAACAGAAAAAAGAACAGTCGGAATAGGACCGACTGGACCGAACCGAGCGAAGATGAATAGTAGCTCTAACTATATATGGATGTGCGTTGTGAAAGACGACGACAAATAGAGAAACACACACATAGAGAAGATGTACTATCAATGTGTGTGGCAGTGTGAGTGGCGTGTCTGGTAATCAAGGAAGAATCAGTGTCGATGATGTCTTCTGAAAATAATTCGAACTTGTATCCTTCATATGTATTCGACTGAAGCACTTTGCTGATCGATATGTGCTTCTGACTGATCGGTGCTACTGTTGACAGCGACGACGCTGTTGTTGCTTTTGCTGCTGGTGCTGTTGATGATGACGATTTGCTGGACCGTTGTTTTCTGACCATTTGTGTGAACGGAGCAATCACCACCGGTTGAAGACTGAACCTGCTGTTGTCTATATTCATTTGAACGAAAAACTAGACTTTTCTCAGCGAAATCTTCATCTTTTTGATGAAAAACCCGCAGCCCTCCTCAAGAACTTCATACCGTTTCCGGAAATACTTTAATTTCTACACAGCACCCGAATCTCTCCACAAGAACTTCATAGTTTTGCAGCATGGAAAACTCTAATGTCTAAACAGCACCTGCATCTTCTTTAACAAAAAAATCGACTTTCACGCACAAGATCTTCGTCTTTTTGATGAAAAACCGGACGCGCCTCCTGAAGAACTTCATATCATCGATTTAGAGCCAGTAAATTAGAAAATATTAATCGTTTTGTAACAGCAGCATCCAGAAAATTTATTAAGATTAAAAATAAAAGAAAATTAAAATCGACAAGCGTGTAGACGGCTTTGGGAACATGGATTGGAAAAACCTGATCTCGTTTTACTTTCTGATACCCAAAGCAGTGTAGCACCAATAATTCAGTCAGGAAGAGCTTATTTACCGAGAGCAGCAAAAGCAGAAGCCTCAAGAAGAATAAAAGATCAAACGAAGAGCATGAATCTTCCTGATCGTCGTGTTTTTGATTATGGAGAAGGTGTCTTTGATACAATCTCGCTAGCGCATGACTCAGCTGTGCAAAAACATGCACATGATTCTCTTCATAAAATAGACTGGGAGAACTGGCGTATAATAGATCGAGATGATATTGAATATCGCTTGTTAATTAAAGAATCCTTATCTATCTTGTTATTGAAACCCGATCTAAACGGTACTGTTAGATCTGTACCGCTAATTGTGTTTCCAAATGGTCTGTGGAAAGACAGCAAGAGTGATTTGGATCCAGGAGGTGACAGAGTGAATGAGAAATGAATAATAAGACAGTACAGCCGTGAATTTATTTTTTCTTCTAGTAGAAACGGAAGGACTAAAACAGAAAGTTCTTTCTCTTTCTATTCAGTTAGTACGATTGATATATATATATATGTCAGCGTCCAAACTCCGATTCAGTCCAAACTGAGATTGGACTAGGCCAATGCAGGATTGGACGTGAAAGTGAGTAGGCCAATCTCAGTTTGGCCTGAATCGGAGTATGGACGCCCACATATATATATGTTTTTTTCGTGCCTAGTTTTCATGTACAGTATGTTTCTCTTGAAAATGACTGCATGGGCAGTCGAAACGTCGAGTAACTTTTAAGTTTTAATTTTAATTTAATTTTATTTTTAATCTTAATAAATTATGAATGCTGCTGTTACAAAACGATTAATAGAACTTCATACCGTTCGCTGAAACACTGTAATTTCTAAACAACAGCTGCATCTTATTTTTCGAAAAACTCTACGTTTCTCCACAAGAACTTGCATTTGCTGTTGAGAAGCTAGAGGGTTCCAGGAAAAACAGTGAAGGACTTGTGAAGGAACGTTGAGGTTTTCAGTACAGACGATAGAGTATCTGAGGAGAAACATCGACGTTTTCAGGAAAAAGTAGGAACTTTTGGTGGGGGAACGTGGCGGCTTTCATGAAAGAGATGCAGATCTTGTTGAGAAACGTCGAGTTTTTCGTAAAAGAAGATGCGGGTGCGGTTTAGAAACCGGTGGTTCTCAAGATAAACTATGAAGTTCTTGTATTCTGGTTTTTCATCAAGAAGTTGATGATCTTGCTGAGAAGCGTGGCGTTTCTCGTTAAAGCAGACGCATTTGCTGTTGAGAAGCTGCAGGGTTCCAGGAAACACAGTGAAGGTCTTGTGGAGGAACGTCGGGTTTTTCATCAAGAAGATGAAGATCTTGCTGAGAAACCTTGAGTTTTTCGGTAAAGACGATAGAGTATCTGTGGAGAAACATCGACAACAACAATGATGCGGGTGCTCTTTAGAAATGAGAGCTTTTCCGGAAAACCCGCGGAGTTCCTGTGGAGGAACATGGAGTTTTTTATCAAAGATCTTGCGGAGAAACGTCCACTTTTTGTTAAAGAAGATTCGGGTGCTGTGTAGAAATTAATCTATTTCTGGAAAAAGTATGAAGTTCTTGTTGTGAAACGTCGGGTTTTTCGTAAAAGCATATTCAGGTGCTGTTTAGAAATTGACATTTTTCAGGAAACGGTATGAAGTTGTTGAGGAGGAATATCGGGTTTACATCAAAAAGATACAGATCTCGCTAAAAAAAGTCGAGTTTTTCGTAAAAGACGATGCAGATGCTGTTTAGAAACCGGAGGTTCTCAAGATAAACTATGAAGTTCTTGTATTCTGGTTTTTCATCAAGAAGTTGATGATCTTGCTGAGAAGCGTGGCGTTTCTCGTTAAAGAAGATGCATTTGCTGGTGAGACGCTGCAGGGTTCCAGTAAGAACAGTGATGGTCTTGTGAACAAACGTTGAGTTTTTCGGTAAAGACGATAGGGTATCTGTGGGGAAACATCGACCTTTTCAGAAAAAAGTAAGAACTTTTGGTGGGGGAACATGGCGGCTTTCATGAAAGAGATGCAGATCTTGTTGAGAAACGTCGAGTTTTTCGTAAAAGAAGATGCAGGTGCTCTTTAGAAACTGGAGATTTTCCGGAAAACCCCTGAAGTTCATGTGGAGAAACGTGGAGTTTTCCATTAAAGAAGATTTGGGTGCTGCATAGAAATTAAAGTACTTGAGGAAGACCTATGAAGTTTTTGTGGGGGAACTTCGGGCTTTTCGATAAAGAAGATACAGGTGTTGTTTGGCAGTTACGGTTTTTAAGGAAAAAGAATGAAGTTCCGGCGGACCAAAGCGGAGTTTTTCTGTAAAAAGATGAATATCTTGTGGAGAAAGTTTTCCGTTAAAAAACTAAG